TGCGAAAACATCGTCTTGTGAAACCCAGTTCCCCATTGGAATGCACTGAAATCCATTTAATGCATTCCAATTGGGAAAATAATCACTGTCTTGCAAAAATTGTCCATAGAAAACATCATCTTGCAAAACACAGTTCCCCATACCATACTGGGGAAAAGCAGTCCCCTCACCTGCATTGCCTTTGGAAATTCAATAGGTCGCAGATAGCCTTCCCCCTCTTTCTCTTTCCAGCAACAAAGAAAGAAGGTAAAAGGAGTCAAACCCCCCTTCTGTCCCCTGACCCCCCCAAGTCATGGTGACCCCCTGGCCGCACCTCCCACCCAGTACAGGGCTGCACATCCCCAGTTCTGCCAGAGGCCAAGAGAGCTCCTCAGTGTTTTGGGGTGCCCTGCAAGACACCCATCAGGGGCTAGGTGTTCCTCCCACAACCCTCTAGTGCACAGGTATTAGCATAAGGTATTAGCTACTGTATCAGCAAATGTAGTATGTGCTACAGGCAAGAACTCTGTTCCAGAAACACTAACCAAATAACTATATCCTGTCTCTGAGACTTCCTGGCCCTCTTCTGATTTAGATACATCAAAGACATGCCACAACTATAAAGACTTGGAAACAACTAAAAGTAAGACTGAATTTTGCTTTCCCGTGTATGCAGGGTTAATTTGTGATCAACAGCCAAGTTTGTGTTCTGGATCATAAAGCACAGTTAGTTTCCTTGCTGCAACACCCTTTGGAAATACATTCTCTATTAGATGCCCAGAACTAGTTGAAAAGTTTGCAAGTCAAATCCAAATTTCTCATAAGAATGCGTTGGAAATTAATTAATGCATTCTTATGGGGGGGTGGTGGAAAGGTCAGAAACTTTAAAAAAATTAAAAGAAAGTCACTTACCAGGTACTGTAGACTGAGCCCGGCTCTTCTCAGTGCCTTGGTAGCCCCCACAAACAGCCGAAAAAGAGCACCAAACAGGTAAAAGCCGGCACCCAGAAGGCAGCCGGCAGCCATTTTGTGCTCTTCTCCGCTCCTTTCCCCTCCCTCTCCCCACCTAACGGCTGAACAGCACTGGTCTGAATGGCTTCCCAGGCAGCTTTTAAAGCAAAACTAGCAGCTATTAAAGCAAGTATACACGCCTCTACACAAGCAAGTTTCAACTCAAACGGAGCACCTTTTCACCCAAGCACTAACCCCAAATAAGCAGCTTTTAAACTAAATTTTACATTTTAAAATGGCAATCCCAGGTCTCTCTCCCAGCTCTCGAGCCACTTGGACTAGCGAGGAAGCAGACAAGCAGCCTCTTCACTAACTGAAATTTTGAATTTCCCTGCCTTCTTTGCACATTAGGTTTGCTAATATCTGTGCACTGGAGGATTGTGGGAGGAACACCCAGCCCCTGATGGGGGTCCCATGGGGCACCCCAAAACACAGAGGAGCTCTCTTGGCCTCTGGCAGGACTGGGGCTGTGCAGCCCTGTTCTGAGCAGGAGCTGCAGCTGGGGGATCACCATGCCTTGGGGGGCAGGGCACAGAAGGGGGCAGGAGGTGCAGGGGCCACTCCAGCTCATACCTGCCAAGAAAGATACCATGATCGTGAAAGTGGTTTTCCCAGGGTAAGGCTCATCCATTGCATTTTGGGTGTGCTGATCCCTGTGATTTCCCCAAATGTGGGAAAATCAACTGCCTAATTTGTGGTAGTGGGGGACCGTGTTTGCGGTTTTTCCTAGTCTTTCTAGAATCTCTATTTCCCCTTTGGTCCTTGGCTGTTTTCACTGTCCTCTGTCATTTAAATTTGCTGCCATAGGCCTGTTGGCCCTTCTGTTTTTCCAGGTGGGCTCCAGGAGGCAGATCCTGGAGAGACAGCAGTGCAGATGGCAGAGTGGTGAGGTCCAATGTGGCTGCCACGGCAAGCAGCCTCTGGTGCCAGTTCAGATGCCTCCTAGCACCAGTTCAGAGGCCTCCCAGCATGGTGGTGGGAGGCTTCTGGGTGGTGGTGGCTGAACCCTTTTTTACAGTATTCACTCCATAAGACGCACATACTTTCTCCCCCACTTTTTTTTGGGGGGGGGAACTGCACCTTATGCACCGAAAAATACGGTAACTGTTCTTACTATTCAACTCTTCATACTGTTACAGACAGACATGAGGATTAGAGATTAGGTATTTGTATTCATATACAAATATGAATATCCTTGCACATCTGGATTCCTCCTGCTGCAGTGGCAACCCTGCTCATCCTTCCAATTGCACCCAGAGCGCCACTCTCTTCCCACTTGGAGCCGTGCAAGACAACTCATCCTCCTTCCCCCTGCCTGGAGTGGCCAGCTGAATTGGAAGAGACCTGCGCTCTGTGCGCAATTGGAAGGATGAGCGGTGCTGTCACTGCAGCAGGATGGATGAGTGGATGCATGAGAGTCCCAGGGGCCAGACTCTCATTAAGTCCAGATGTGCAGGGATATTCATGTTTGTATGCAAATACCCCCACCTCTAATGAGGATCCCCAAATAATGGATTGTTAACTGGCTGAGCCAGCAGGTGATACCTCCTGTTTGCATTGTGCATAGCTTAAAGCGAGAACTGGTGAGAAGTAACATATAAAGAAAATTAGTAGTTGGCATGAGTGGAAGCTTGTCTCCCAGAAGATTTATCATGACAGGTCAGGCTTCCAACGAGGCATACTATGTGTAGGTGCATTGCATTTCTGTCTAAACTTGGATGTTTTCCATTGATGGCTGCCTTTGTCACAAACATCATCCATAAAAATTAGTACTGAGAATTTTCCTTTATTCTTTGGTTTTCTTCAGTTATTTGGATTCTGGTTTTGCTTTCCCCCCACCCCGTTCCATGAGCAGCTTTTCTACCTCCCTTTCACTTCCCATCGTGTCCCATGTCTCCCAAAAACTAGGCCAAAGCAGTTGAGGAACTTTATGGAAGAATGTGCAGTTGCACTTCATGAGACTGTAGTGGAACAGAGAACTGAGAAAGATTGGGGGTCTTTTGTCTCTCCTTGCTATTCTTTGGAAGTCTGTGTTCAGTTTTCTGTAACTTTCCCTATCTTGCTTGCATTTTGTTTCCCTTCTCCTCTCTGCTATTTGTAAGGGCTCATTGGATAGCCACTTTGCTTTCTTGCATTTCCTTTTCTTTGGGATGGTTTTTGTTGCTGCCTCCTGGACAATGTTACGAGCCTTTATCCAAAGTTCTTCAGGCACTCTGTCCATCAAATCGAGTTCCTTAAATCTGTTCTTCACTTCCACTGTATATTCATAAGGGATTTGGTTTAGATTATACCTGAGTAGCCCAGTGGTTTTTCCTACTCTCTTCAGTTTAAGCTTGAATTTGGCTATGAGAAGCTGATGATCAGAGCCACAATCAGCTCCAGGTCTTGTTTTTGCTGACTGTATAGAGCTTCTCCATCTTTGGCTGCAGAGAATATAATCAATCTGATTACGATATTGCCCATCTGGTGATTTCCATGTATAGAGTCGACTCTTGTGTTGTTGGAAAAGAGTGTTTGTGATTACCAGCTTGTTTTCTTGAAAATAATCTGTTAGCCTTTGCCCTGCTTTGTTTTGAACTCCAAGGCCAAACTTCCCTGTTGTTCCTTTTATCTCTTGACTCCGTACTTTAGCATTCCAATCCCCTAGAATGAGAAGAACATCTTTCTTTGGTGTCAGTTCTAGAAGGTGTTGTAAGTCTTCATAGAATTGGTCAGTTTCAGTCTCCTCAGCATTGGTGGTTGGTGCATAAACTTGGATTATTGTGATGTTGAAAGGTCTGTCTTGGATTCGTATTGAGATCATTCTATCATTTTTGAGATTATATCCCATTACAGTTTTTCCCACTCTTGTGTTGACTATGAGGGCTACTCCATTCCTTCTACAGGCTTCTTGCCCACAATAGTAGATATGATAATCATCTGAATTGAATTCGCCCATTCCTGTCTATTTTAGTTTACTGACACCCAGGATGTCAATGTTTATTCTTGCCATCTCCTGTTTGACCACTTCCAGCTTCCCAAGGTTCATAAATTGTACATTCCAGGTTCCTATGCAGTATTTTTCTTTGCAGCATCGGACTTTCCTTTCACTTCCAGGCACATCCACAGCTGAGCGCCCTTTCAGCTTTGGCCCAACCACTTCATTAGCTCTGGAGCTACTTGTACTTATCCTCTGCTCTTCCTCAGTAGCATGTTGGACGCCATCCAACCTGAGGGTCCCATCTTCCAGCGTCGTATCTTTTAGCCTTTTGTTTCTGGTCATGGGGTTTTCTTGGCAAAGATACTGGAGTGGCTTCCCAAAGCCTGCTGCAGGTGGATTGCGTTTAGTCGGAACTCTCCACTATGACCTGTCCGTCTTGGGTGTCCCTGCACGGCATAGCCCATACCTACTTTGAGTTACTCAAGCCGCTTTGCCACGGCAAGGCAGCAATCCATGAAGGGGATTTACTTGTCTGGTAAATGCAAACAAAAAGTTTAATAATAATCACAGATGTTCTTCAGTTGTTCATTGTACACAAGCAAATCATTCACAGGTCTCCCTATACATACATTCTTCATGCCATATAATTAATTACCACCTTCTCTATCTATTTGTCGTAACCACTCTCTCACTCAATCTCTATCTCTTCTGATTCTGACTAACTCACACTCTCTCTCCTGACTGATTCTTGACTGACGGACGACTCCTCACAGGCTCCGCCTTTTAACCTTTCTCTTGGCTCCACCTCTCCACCATATTTGCCTAAAACATGAATAATACTTGACTTATTTAGCATAATAAGGGTGAACGCTACACTACTGAGAATTTGTTAACATTGACTTAACACACACACACACACACACAGACACACACAGACACACACACAGAATATAACTAGAGAAGCTAGAGCTAGATCTGTACAACCTGGTTTGAGAAATGTTTCTCTCAGATATCAAAATATTCCAGCCAGAATTTCTGTCTTTAGGAGTATTTGATGTAAATAGATGACTGTCTTTCTTCTGTATTCTAGATTGAATATGCCAGAAAGAATATGCATAGTGCCAATCAGAAACTACAGGATGCGCAACAGAAGCTGTACAATTCCTGGGTAGAGTGGAGGAAAAACATAGGCCAAAATGAAGAGGGTGACATAAACACTGCAGAGGTAATTGTCTGAGTGTGCCTTCCACAAGATTTGTAAACAGGTGTCGAAATCTTAATTTCACAAGCATTTTAGCATTGTGGTATCACTTGTCTTCTCTTTCCAGTGATGCTACATATGAGAGTATGTGTATGGGGAAAATTCTTTGTACCTACAGTATATTTCATTTTCCAGTATACAAACAAAATATGTTTGCCCGAAGAAGTGTGGTGTTGTATGTCACAGCCATGTCTTAACTGTTTATATTTTGAATACATAACAAAAAAGTTGGGGCAAAAGACTTTTGGAATACCGTCTTGTTATGGGAGGATCAATACTTACTAATAATGGAATATTTTGGTGTAACTAGCTAGTAAGCTGAACCCAAAAGTGTAAATCATAGAGATGCACATCTACTTCTGTGTTTTTGTTCATATGTGGCCGGTGCATGCTGTCCTTGTGTGCACTGGGGGAGTAAAACCGCTGCTTGCAGCAGAGATGCTCCGATTTAGGCAAATGAATTGTGCTGCCACCACTGCTTGTGCTGCAATGGTTTGATTTATTCCTGAGAGTCTTGACCGAACATTAGTATCCAAATATGTTTGTCACGACCTAGCCTCCTTGAGGGGAGTGTTTGGTCAGCGGACAGAGAGTAAATGGGAGCCTGAGTGCCCCTAAGCAGCTGGGTAGACTCCCAGGCTTCCTCAGCCAGGGCATACTTCAAACTCCTTCTTACAAGTCTGCCCTAAAAAGATACTTGCTTCAAAGGCTTTTGCATACTCAATGAAGCAGAAGTAGATATTTTTCTGGTACTCTCTGGCTTTCTCCATAATCCATAATCCACCTTCAGTGCTACCTCCCAAGTTTTTCTGGAGAGTTGATAGATCTTCAGATAGCATGGGATAAAATGGGGTAGCTGTAGGGATAAAGGAGCATATTCAAGAAAAGCAGTGTTTTCCACTGAATCTTATTTCCTTCCAGGAACATAAGGAGGTTGGATTCAACTCATTTTCTGAGTTGAAAAGTAGGGTGGATGGGGGTAAGCATTTGCACAGGACTGTCCTAACCTAATTCCTTGAAATGGCAGTTAATACCAAGTGGCAATGGTCTTGGCTAATAAAAGAAGTATTGCAGTTCTAATGAATTGTTGTTCTGTTATGTGGAAACCTGGAAGCTGTAATTTACAAGAAATAAGAAACTTGTTTCTAAGATTTGTCCTCTTTCCAGTACATTGAATCGCACACACTATCAATTGCACGGAATCTGACTCAGCAGCTTCAAACCACCTGCCTGACGCTGGTGTCAAGTATACAGGGCTTGCCCCAGAACATCCAAGACCAGGTGCATCACATTGGAGAAATGGCAGCAGAGGTCTACAGAAGCTTCAGATCAACTTCCTCTTTCCAAGAAGTGTCTGACAGTCTCATCACCACCAGCAAAGGGCAGCTGAAAAAAATGAAAGAATCGTTGGATGATGTGATGGATTATCTTGTTAACAACACGCCACTCAACTGGCTGGTAGGTCCCTTTTACCCACAATTGGCTGGCTCTCAGAATGCTGAGCACAAAGGTGAAGGGGAGCAAAATACCAGCCAGGATGACAAACAGCCTGGACACAATGCAGATTAAATTGCAGCATGGTATATGTAGGCTCTGACTAATAAGGTGGTTTAGTTTTGTAGCTGCAATGTAACTTGTCGGAAATTTATATGGCCAGAACCTATGTATTCTTCCTTGTTTCCACTGGGTTCTTCTCTGACAAGGAATTATATATTTTTAAGAAAGGTGGTTCATGTAGGTTTGAGTCATGCTTTTAGTGCTTTGGCTGAAAGCTGTGAAAAATGTAAAGTGCCTTGGGCCTTCTGAACCTCAGCAGATTACATTGGAAAAAAACCTTGTTTAGCTGTTTAGTGAAAAAGCTCCATCCTATCTGGGATGTAGCTCTTTAAAATAATGTACTGCTATACTGATGTATGATTCAAAACAAAAAGAGAAAAAAGCCCACGATATAAAATCTCATTTTTGGCTGCATAATTAGACTTTGCACCTTGTTTTCAAAACTGCATATGTGCCATTGCAAGTACATTATCCCTTATATGTGCCTTGCATCAAAGTGTTCAAGTACCAAACATGCCTTGATGAATGTTGCCACTCCTTTTGAATGGGAATTAGAACTAACATCTGCCACAGTTACTCATATGCTGTGATAGTTTACATTGCTGCCTCCAATTTTTAAGACTTTGTATTACTCGATAACTCTGTGTAAACTTCATTTGAGTATTGTTTACTAAACACAAGTTTCATGCTGTTTGTACGTACATGGGTGTTTAGCCTGTCTTTCTGTAGTGCCTTGCCTTGTAATTTCATATGTATGCTTTAGTAATAAATGCTTCAGCAGCCAAAGTCTGTCTCTTCAATTGTGTAAAACAAACAATGGTCAACACTAAACAAGTACTGTGATTACTATTGGTCTGGGTCTTTTAAAACTGTATGAACACAAATTGCTGGTCCATTAATCAGCATCAAACATTATGTGTAAATAGATGGGCTAGATGTTGCTGTGGCATTTGTTTCCTTCCTGTGGCTTCTTATCTATCCACTTAACCTCTTGCTGCTGTCTCTTGAACTTTGTCATTCCAGCTTTTATAATTTTTAGCTTTTGCTTATATCCTGCTTCTCTGATTTCTCAATGCTTGCATTGTGTGACTTGGCAGTGGGTGAACTGTAATATAATTTCCTGTCTCCTGTTGTACAAATATTCTGTGGTCTTGATGGTCCATCAGACTTTACAACAGCTCCTGGAGGACCACCATTTTCTGGTCTTGAGCATCCCAGTGACTTATCTGGGGTATCTATGGTTTCCACTCTTCAAATGGGTGGACAGTTGTTACTTAACTCAAGTAGAAATATTTGTTTCTTCTTGGCACTGATGGTTGGCTATCTAGGGCACTAACCATTAGAAGATTCTAAGTTAGAAGTTCCAAACTTCAGTACGAATCAAGCAGAAAGGTTCTTCACTTGACACATTGGTATATATCTGACTCTCCAGCAAATCGTGATCTTTTGTAGAGATGGGCACAAACCTTGGTTCAGATATTCATACCAGTTCAGTGCTGTGCCCAGTGTAATTCCCCTTCCCACCACCTGTGCGCACTTGCCCATTCCCTGGGTGATGCACACCCCTCCCTGCCTCCTCCACATGATTGCCCATTCACTATTCACAGCCATGCTTCCCTCCTCTGCCTCCTCCAGCAGACACCCACTCAGAAGAGGAAGTGGAGCAGAGATTCCTGCAGTGCTGTCTTGGAGAGGGCAGCTGCCACAGGAGGAAGGCATGGCTGTGCATGGTGTGAGTGGGCAGTTGTGCAGAGGAGGCAGGAGAAGAAAGTATGCAGCTCCCACACAGCATCTCTGCAGGTGAAGTGCCAAACCAACACAAACCTCTGAACTGGGGTTTGTGCCTATTTCTATGGCAAGGACAGTCCTAAATTTACAGTGAGATGCCCATGGGAAATAGCTGACTTTGGATGTCGTGACAGAAAGTAGTTAATTATTGTTTATTTTATTTTATTTTTACTGAATAGAGATACTTAAGGAATTTTCTATCTCAGTTGCCAGAATAAATGTGTCTGGCCTCGGGTAGACGGTGTGACTTGGGCAAATGGACATAGCTTGCTGTTTCATTGCAAGCAGCAACATGTTTTGTCGCCTGCTTATCATTTCCTTGGCATAAAATTTTATGCTTTTGAAAAAAAGGCCAAAAACATGAATTATGCTAACCCATGCATGCCCATCAGTGTATATACGTATGCACTAGAACTACCTTGATATGCTGCCATTGTGCATTGCTATCCCTTATGTGCAAGCACTAATCAGAATTCTGTTAATAAACTGATAGCAAGCCAGCTTCTACAAGCTAAAGAGAAGTGGTGGTCTTTCTATGCTCAGATCTAGTTTAACTATGTCAGGATCAGAGATAGCTTGTTGCACCCTGTATGCACCCTGTATGCATCTTCACCCTGCCCCCTTCCAAGTTCTAGATTCTGTATGCACTAGGGTTCCTTTGCACATCCTAAAAGCCTTGGAAATGTTTGGGAATGTCACAGTACCTTGTTTCACTGCTGATGGATTATTTCCACAACACCAGCAGTGTATAAAGTTGCACATTATGAGGCCACACAGTAAGGATTGCTTCGATCACGCTTTGCTCCTCTTCCTATCCCGGCTAGGGCATAGGAAGAGGAGGGAAGGGGGACCCAAGCGATCCCTCACCCCTGTTGTCTTTGCAAAGGCAGTGGGGGTGGGGGATTGCTTAGATCCGCCACTGCTTCTCTTCCTCTGTCCACCAAGGCATATGAAGAGGGAAGTAGGACCCAACCCACTTTTTAGACAGTGGGGGTGGGGGATTGATTGGGTCCCCCTTCCCTCCTCTTCCTATGCCCAAGCTGGATAACAAAGCAAGTTAAAAAATCGGTCAGATTCTTAAAGCCAGCAGAACACAAAACAGCATCAAAAATATTGAGGTTTAAGAAATCATAGCAAGGTCTCTAGTGAAAAGTAAAAATAAAATGACACCAGCTCTCAACTTTGTGGCTTTAGCAATTCACCACTTCGTGTCTAAACATATGAGGAATTAGAAAGAGAATCTGAGTTAGGATCTTTGGGCAGGTTTCATATAGATTCTAAGTGGAGTCAATCCACAAAATGATAATCACAAGTAGACTTGAGTGTATGTCTGATTTTAAAAAAAACAAACATGTTAGCGTTTCTGTTTCAAACAGTGACATCTAAATATGTCTTCAGTTTGTAAAATAATTGTAACAGAGATTGCCTTAGTCATTACTTGGTTAACCAGAGCTCTATTACGATTCTTTATTGTCACATTTTCCTAATTAAACCTATTAGGTTGCCAGAGATGTGAAGTCTAATATCCAAGGTTAGTATTAGTTGCAGATCGTGACCTCATATTGGCAGGCTTCATGTGACTGCACTCCTAATTTGTCTTCAGTAAGACCAGTGTGTTGAACTGCATATATACAAAAAGAGCAGTAAAGTATATTTTTAGTCTCAGGTCTTCATTTCCAAAACAGAGCAAGCTCTGATTTTAATATGAAGTTGTAGCAACTAACAACTATTAACAGTTCCTTATCAGTGTCGCAAACACGGGTTCGAAAACACACGTGTTTGTTTGGACAGAGAGCAATCAGGAGTTTGTACATGCTAAAATGGGCTGAAGAGTCCTAATTCAGCTAGCCATGATACAACACTCCTTCTCGCAGGTCTGCCCACATAAGAACACCCTGGTACTCTCAGATATTATTGTGAAAAGGTCAAGTGGGCTTTGTAGTCCTTAGACTTAACTTGCACCACTGACAGGACTCTAAGTAAGCTAGGCCGAGGCAGCACTCTCAGATGACCCTATGACAAGTGTACTGTTCAGGAAACCAAATGAGTTTTATAATCTTTATTTTATTAAAGAAAAAGCATGTTACTAAGCCAAATTAAACCAAAACAAATAAACTAGCATTGTGCTGTTTAGTTACAAAGATGTAGTGAGGCAAAGAAACCATGAAAAATATAAAAGTATTCAAAAACCTTATTAAAAATACAAAAAGACATTAAAAAGAATCAAAACAGTTCCAGTCCAGGAAATCATTAGTAAAAACAATATAATCCAAGTAGGTTATAAAAAGGCTATAGTCCTCAGTGATCTTATAGCATAAAAATCCCTTAACAAAAGTAAAAATCCCTTATATGTCCCATAGTCCTTAGAAAAGAAAAATCCAGTAAATATACCATAGTCCTTACAAAATTACAAGAGCATAGTCCATATGGAGTATTCCAAGAAAAGAAGTCCATAAAGAATATTCCATAGAACAGTCCATAGAAAATAGTCCATGCACAGTCCTTAGGAAAAATCCCATAAGTCCAAAAGTAATCCAGCAAAGCATAGAAACCAGTCTATGTAGGTAGGCCACCAAACTCTCTCTAAAGACATCAGGGTAAGTCCCATATGGCTGAAGTGTAGGTCACGAATCACTGAAAGGTCGGTCTTGGAAAGACAATGTCTATAGGCAAAAAGTTCCTTTTTCAAGAGTAACTGGCAAGGGCTTAATGCACCTTCCCACGATGTCATCCAATCAGAGTTCGTTACTAGGCAAACAGTCCTGTTACATCACATGAATTCTTTCTCATACACAGCTCCATGCTTTCCTATGGGGGAGAAAACAATTCGCCATAAATTAACGAAAGTTCAGATCAAAGCCAAATTAACTTTTGCATCCGTTTTAGAGGGTGCAGAAGCTAATCCAAGCATTTAAAACCATTTTGACCCTTTTATGACACAATTTTGCAAAAATTGACTTTGCAAAGCCATTGAAATGTATTGAGTCAGCTACAATACATTCCAATGGAGGAAACATTGTATCGTTTAACGATGTTTCCTATGGGTTTTTTTCGCTTAAGGACGGCAATCCGTGCCTATTGGAACGGATTAACCGGTTTCCAATGCATTCCTATGGAAAATGGTGTTTCGCATAACGATGTTTCACATAACGTTTTTTTTTTAACCAATTAAAATCGTTATGCGAGGCACCACTGTACTTTTTTTGGATTCTGTGTGAAATACTTTGCCTGGAAGACAGCAGTGTTGTCTACATAAAGACTGAGTAATATGTGAATTCCTTAAACACTTCAATTAATATTGAGAGCAGTAATATTATCAGTAATATTGAGAGCACAGTTTCAGTAATGCCAATAGCTGTTGCTGCGAGAAATACTAAAGGATTCAAGAACAGGTACCCTGGGTCCCCAGATGTTCCCAGAAATGCTGGCCAGCAGTTAGTGGTGAAGCTTCTGGGAGTTTGTCCAAGAATATCTGCGGGCCCAAGGTTGGGAATCACTTTTCCAAAGGAAAACAGATAGAAATGAGGGAAGACTAAATGTCTTTAGGAAATAGGATGTGGCTTAATTATTGTGTCATCTATAGAATAATGTGGACCTTTCTTATATATTTGTGGTTCATCCTGTAGTCTTTTATACTGCAAGATGGACCTGAGAGCTGCATAATAATAACCATCATGGCATATGCCTGCATGTGCCAGAAAGTTAGACATTTAACCTGAAAGTTTAGGTGTCAATTGGGGTTAAATAGTAAATTGCTTAAAAATAACCTTGTCATTTAGTGTAATGTAAAAAATGGACACATCAAGGCTAAGGCTTGCACACCTTGGTGAATAGTCATATGAATAACTAATGAGAAATGCAGATGTAAAACTTGAAAATGATTTCATTAATAAAAGTTTAATTTTAATCTTTTAATGCAATCCATATGAGAGATAAATGGGAGGAAAAAATAAGATTTCATCTGACTTTGTTGGGACATAAGAATAAGGACAGAGTGA